TGTATTCCAATGCAGGCCTTATTATACTATACTCCTAGCTCCAGGGGAGCAGCCAAGGAGAAAACAATGAGACCATCTTAATTTACATATACAATCGTCTTAATATAAGGCAGAAAAAGAAACATCGATGATCAGATGAGCCGCATACAACTTTGACATAAATAAATATTTTTTCTTAAAGAAGCACAGCACTTGCCCATGTATAGGGAAACAAAACACAGGCGGCGCATGAAAAAGTTGGGGGTCGGATTTGATTAATTCGACAAGGAATTCTTCTGGATCTTGACTAGAAAGTAGTTTGTTGACTTGCTTATCACTACGAAAAGACGATTTAGTCTTGTTCGAGCAGTGTTCCTCTGCCTAGCTAGAGAACAAATTAAAAATATCAAAATTGATTCCAGATTCTGCTCCGGCTTTTTAAGTACACCTAGCTAGCTGCGAACAAAGCAGCCCAATTAGAGGCGAAAAAAGGTCCTTGCATGCTGGCTAAACACTCTACAGTTGCAGATGAGCAAATCATCTTCCAAACATCCGTTCATCATATCTAGTTATGAACTATCGACGACAAAGTTACCATGATCACTGAGAAAATGTTTTTTTTCTCCCTAAAAGCTATAGACAAAACATGGATTATAATCAGGTCTAGATCTAACTAGTACAATTTTTTAAACAAAAGGATAATTAACTTCCGATCTACTCCCTCCATCAAAAAAAACCTAACCATCCATTTCCTAGTATAATGAATCTGGATAATCTTTAGGTTGATATTTGTCGGTACAGAGGGAGTAATTAAGAATACTACGTGTACACTGAAATTTAAAATTTAATGAGCGGAGTACATAGATAGTTAGATATGTACATCCGACATGTATTGGGCAAATCGTTTGGTAGAATACAAATGAGACCGTACAACAAAAACCCGTGGTTTACTTACTTTTGGCACATGTACGTGTGTTCGGTACCTACAAGGCCAACGAGGATAGGAAATCGACCGACAAAACCGTGGATTTTAATTGCAAAGGCTCGCTACCGTCCGTGAGCGCCACCGGACATTCGGCGCCGCCATAAATTCGAATCCCGGTATGCAAACTCAAACCGATATCCTACTACGATTTCATTTCACGCAGTTTTTTTTTTCAAGTTTCAAAATCCATTTGGCTCCAAATACTACAGCTACTAGCGATTTCTCGATCTGGTACCACTTGCTACTGTACGTCTTGCAACAATGTGGGGTTCGTTTCATTCAAGCGTACGACGACGTGGCCTGTCAGATCAGCTGGTTGAAGGGGCTTGAAGTAGTAGAGTACGAGTGAGTACGACGCAGTTGTTGCCTGAAAAGTTGAAATACTATTTCTGCTCTTCTACGAAACGTGCAGTGCCGGTAGTTGCATGATGTCTACGTGCTTAATTGGAGTATTAAAAGTTGTTGCTGCTGCTGCTGCTGTTGCTTGTTGCTTTGCTGTCCCTCCGTGTATTCTGTTCTTGGAGGAAACGACGGATCGATCGATCTGCGGAGATTAATTAACGACGATCAGTACAGCGAGAGATTAACTAAGAGCAAGTTTAATAGTATAGCTAACTACCAGCTCTAATTCATATATAGCCAATCTAATAGCTCATTCATACAATAGTACATACTACACTATTAATACCTAGTCCCACATGTCATACACACCTTGCGTCTTGGAGTCCGTGCTACAGCTGGCTACAAATCTGTAGCCCGCTGCTTTTCTCTCACCTTATTTATCTAAGAGCAGGTACAATAGCAGGCAGCTGCAAACATATTTTAAGCAGATAAATGAGAAGAGAGAATGACAGCGGGCTACAGATCTGTAGCCAGCTGTAACACGGACTCCAAGACGCAGTGTGTGTATGACAGGTGGGACCAGATATTAATAATGTAGTATGTAACTATCGTATGAATGAGCTATTAGATTGACTATAGATGAATTGGAGCCAATAGTGAGCTATACTATTAAACTTGCTCTAAGATAGGGTACTACTGCTTCCTCGAAAGAAAAAAAAAAGGGTGTAGATCGATCACTTTTGTTGTGTGCGCGCGCCGTCGTCGTCGTCGAAACAGTTGTTTGTTGTTGTTGGGCTCAAGAACAGAACAAAGTAGTCCGGGTGACTTGTGGTGAAGCTGATTTTATGACCAGACTCGATGTGTGTTTCTGTAGCAAAACGGTTTGGTGAGGTTCCAGTTTGAGAAAATTCCCTATATACCCCTGAAAATTTACTCAATCCCTTCAATACCCCTGAATTTGACATTATCCCTTATATACCCATGAGTTTTCATTTTGATCTCCTCTATACCCATCTCCGTTAGTTGACCATTAGTTGACCGTTAAATATTTTAAAATGACTATATTACCCATCCTATACATATGTGTGGTACCTACCCAATAAATTTTCATATGAAAAATAAACTTATACAAAATACAAGCAATATAATCATTTAATGCCCAACTTAAAAAATAAAACTTATTATTTTTTATTTTTTAAAAATTATGATTAAATCCATACATTAGTTTCACCAAAAAATTAAGAGCAAAAACTAAATGTTATTTAGGTTTAAATTTTTGGGAAGATATACGAAATTCATCAAATTTGATCTGAAATTTATTTAAAAATTTTAAATTTGTTTTCTAATTTGTGATAAACTAATTATATCCCCTTTGTTTTTTCACAACGAATCTTTTTTCACTAAATATTTGTTGAAAAGTAATTTTCAAATCTTATGCAGAACTTTTTTTTACAATAAATCTTTTTTTATTTTAATGAAATAATGTTTTATTTTCAAAAATTCATAACAAATATTTAGTAATTTATTCCTTATTGGTTTTCACAACTCAAATAATTTACACATAAAACATTTCTAGCTTTTAACAATATAACAAGGACAATAAAGTAATTTCTACAATAACTAACGGTCAAACTAATGGTCAACTAACGGAATGGGTATGTAAGGGATCCAAATAAAAACTCAGGGGTATATAAGAGATCAAACAAATTTCAGGGGCGTAGAAGGGATTGGGTGAAATTACATGGGCATATAGGGAATTGGCCCTTTCAGTTTTCAGTTCAGAGTCGGCCGGTCCGGCGTCAGACACCGAGCAATGCGGCGTTCTTCTCCAGATGCTTAAAGATATGTGGTTCCAGTATTTCTGGGTTTCATTTTGGTTAGCCTTGACTCTTGACTCGTGTGTTTGACAAGTTCATCTTCTGACCAGATTAATATACTCGTAAGAGAGAGAAAGGGGGAAGCGCCACTTTTATTTGAGGTGATCTTGAATAATGTTGCTAGGGGGTCTGATTTCATCAATCTGCCGTTGTGTGGTGGCACTATTCTATTTATTTTTTAAATGTTAGTACGTATTTGCTGCTCTAATGTTAGATACTTACTGGTATATTGTATTGGCGTTATTGAGTCAATGGGTTTTTACTATTGTTTCTAAGCAGATTTACTTTTGAAAAAAAATCGCCAATAAAGAATATTATGGAAGAATGAATTATCTTTTATTTACTGCCAGCCATTCTCTCAACATAAAACCACCATGGCTTGATGTTGGCTTTCTCTTCTTGAGTATTGTTCCATGTCTCTTTGAGTTCGAGCATAACTCTTTATTCAGCTGGTATTTTCAGATTTTGTATTGCCATCCATGCCGTCAAGCTTTAATAATTTGGAAATAAGTAGATGCACGGTATTTATAATTTGCCAAGTAAAAATGAACAATAGATTTCTCTTAAAAACATATTTCTAGGACATTGTAATGAAAAAAAATTATGAGACCACATAATTAAAATAGTTATAAACCATTATAACATATAAATTCAATCCCTAATACCCTACAGATATTACACACTTAATATGAGTTTTTTTAGTGAGACTAAAAATTTATCGTTGGTCACACCCTGTCGTGGGTTTTCCCATAAGGTTCTTATAATAACCTATTATAATTTACCATAACCATTAAACTATTCATATTATCTATACTATCCATTCGTTTTATTATAGTCTTAACTAGTTCGACCCTATAACACATCCATCCTGAAATCTTTTTTACTTCCATCCTTAATATCCTTGTCGAAGGCTAAAATCATTACCCCATCTATTTCATATGAAACCGGGGAGTATATTTTAAAACGAAGGAAGCAGCGTAATCTTAGATTGAGTTATTTTCAGCAACTCAAAACAACAAATTTCTCATTTATGGTTAGCACGTTTATCAATGATGTATTTTGTGTAAAAGAATATGTATTTTTTAATAAATAAATAAACATATTTTTTCAACTTTTAATAGTTGTTTTAGAACAAACTTATAATAGTTAATATTAAATTTATGCTAACGGTTATTCTTGTTTTACGTGTCTCGGAAAAGCAAGCCAGTATGTTTACTCACCCTAAAGTGATACGGTCAAAGGTACGAACAGGACACGGTGTCCACGCCTTAAACAAGCATTAAAGAAACTGATGACGACGGTTAATTGTATAATTTCACCGCGCCTAATTAAAGAAACAGCAAGGCAGCAACGCCTATCCGATTTTTATTACTCGCGCCACGCCAGCTTTGGGTAGCAGGAAGAACCCAAGGATAGATACTTCGGCTGGCGTCAACGTGTAACGTATGTGCAGTGCAAACGAGATCCTGACACGCATGGATAACGCCCCTGACTGACGACCGGGCCACAGACAGCGGGCCCTTTTTACCCTCTCTGGCTGTAGTCGGAAGAAAGCAACGTCTCGGGTGGTTGCCGTGTGCGCCCGACGCAGCAGCAGATGCAAACGCAGCCTTTGTACTTTCGGGAATACCCATGAGTGACTCAACCCCCCCAATCCCCCCCAGAACACCAAACCTCGTAAACTACTTGAAAAAAAGAAAAAAAAAACAGAAGACGGTAAAGCCGCCACCACGGGTGCCACGGCTTTTGATACGAGAGCCACACGCCGAGACCGAGACGACGCCGTTGGAACGGAACGCAACGTGCGGAGAGAGAGCGAGAGAGAAGCACATGGCACGACGACGCCGCGCGCCCCGGCACCGGAGAGAATCGAACCGACCAGCCAACCAACCGCCCGCGGCAGGATCGCGCTCATTCGCCCGTGAGATCGGCCCGAAACCACGTAAAACCCCCCCACCCCCCACCACCTCGCGCCGCAACCGTGCCCAACGGCACAAGCGCAGTTACGCCGCGCGTGATGCGCCTCCCACCACCACCACCAGCGCGCGTCTCCGCCTAAACATAGCTATCTCCACTCCTACTTCCCGGTCTCGAGCTACACCAAACACAACGGGTCATTTCCCTCCATTTTGATCCGGGAGAATAGCAAAGCAAGGGGCGGGGGTGGGGATTGTCTATATTTACCGCACACGCGTCGTTGGCGAGGCGGGGGGGTAGCTGCTACCTTTGGGAGTTGGGTGGCGCCATGGCAACATCTTCGGTGGCCGCCATGCCGCACGACTCCACGCCATGGAGGGACCCCTCCAGGGCATCCTCCAGGCAGCCCGCCAGGGGGTTCTTCAACATCCTCGTCCCGCCGCCGCAGTCGCCGCGCCCGCGCTGCCCCGACCACCAACACCACCACCACCACCACCACCACCACGATGCTGCTGGTGGCGCGGCGGCGGCGGCGGCGGCGGCGGCGGCGGAGCCCACGCCGAGGCGGCGGAAGCAGATACTGGATCGGTGGGCGGCGGCGGCGGCGGCCGCGTCCGCCACGGCGTCCGCCGAGGCCCCCGCGCCGCAGGAGCAGAGGCGGAGGGCGAGGGACGCCGAGCTGTCCGCGCTCGCGTCGGCCACCCGCCCCGTGACCGCCCGCGCCGCCGTGTTCCGGGAGCCGTCCCCAGCGCCGTCGGACGCGTCGTCGGGGGCGGGGGCGGGGTGCGGGGGCGGGGCCGGGTGCGGCGCGGAGCTCCCGCCCGCGGCGCCGCGCGCGTCGTCGCTGATCCAGCGGTGGCGGGAGATCGAGGCGGTGGGGCCCGCCACGCCGCGGCCCTGCGACCTGGCCTCCGACTCCGACGGCGGCTCGCCGCGGGGCCGCGTGGGGTGCATCGTCAAGAAGCTCAGCGGCACGTCGTCGATCCCCGACGACGAGCTGGACGCCGCCAACAAGGAGGTCGCGATGTCGCAGTCCGCGCCCCCGTCGCCCGCGCCGATGCGCGCCGGGGTGGAGCCGCCCACCAACATCGCCGGTATCAACGGGTCCAGGCCGACGCAGCTGGTAGTCCGCACGGTGCGTGGCCGCCGCGCAATGGAGGAGCTCGTCGCCATGATGGCCCATTGCCGGAGGTGCGAGCTCGCCGCGGTCGCCGACCGCCACGTCGTGTCGCGGTTCTCGCACAAAGGCAGGATCCAGGTGAACTCCCCATTCTCTCATGCGGCTCTCTTTTTTTTTTTTAGGAAAAAAAAAGAAGGAAAAACCATATTTGCAAAACGCAATGGATATTTGGATCAAATTACAAGTAATCATGGATCAAAGTACTTGTTTGTCGATTAACCAAGTGGGATATTGTTCTGTTTCTTGATCGAGAAATCATTATTTTAAGACGAGCCAAGAAGTTAGAAGTGTGAGTTGTTGATTTTGACCCCGTAGTCCCCCAAGGATGGGGCCATATGGCTGTTTGGTAGATCATGTTCCCAACTGGCACTGCTGATCATTGTCATGTGCAAATCACATTATCATGTTTCGTTTTGCAGGTTCGTTAATATGCTAGGATAAACCAAAATGTGATAAAAAATGAGCTAAACTTAGGACTTGATTATCGCAAATAGTGATATGCTAATAGCCATTGTTGACTGGTTCAATATGTAGTAGAACAGCAACGAAAGCTCTACTAGAAGATCCAAGAATATTTTGGGAGCTCTATTGCTATACACGCAATGTCCAGTGTAGCAGAGAGGGTAAATCTAGTGGACGAGATGTCACAAGTGAATAACATCTCTCGTTTGTCTTGTTTGTTTGCTGGCACGTCCGGAATCTGACGTCCTGTGGAGCTTGTGGATGCTGCAGAGTTGTGGCTAAGAGGCCACACGAAACATATCACGTGACTAGACAGGTTGCTTGCTTGCTATAGTGTGCACTTGTTGCACATAAATATGATTAATGGCAGAGCAGTTTGTTAATTGGAAGTACAACGCAAATTTCAACTGTTTATTAATGGCAATTGCCTTTTAGGTTGGATTTTTATGCTACGGTACCAGCATTACTTGCAACATTTTTGGATATTCTTCACTCCAACTCCAGCGAATATTAATGTGCATGTTTCCTAGGAAAGCTGAACTTTTTCCTGGAGAATACATTGCCGGTGTGTAGCTCAAGTATGGGCTGTGTTTGGAAGCAACAAATTTGTTTTGGCCACAAATATTAAGCAAGAATCTCGATTACTTGATGCCCTTTTTTGCATATCCAAGGCATAAATTGTGTTTTTGTTCTTTTCTCTGTGAACAAGATTATTCCTTCCTCTTGTCAAAGATTGGTAAATACAATAGAGATTCACCTTTTATATGGTACAGCCATCATTGTTTTGGCTGCTAAGTGCCAACACACATGCACAAAAGTATGTATTCTCTGGTTTATTTCATTAGATTGTATCTATGCGAACACAAGTACTTTTTAAGCTTGTTTGTTCCTTATGTGGCTTCCGCTAATATTGTCATGCTCTTTGACACCTTGCAGTCCATGCTTCGTCTTAGGCTGTTGCGTCAGGGATTTAAAGTTAAGGATGAAGTTTGGACTCTACCAAAACCAGTCAGGCCACGCCTTCCAAAACATGAGCATGAGGCCTATACCACAAGGTATTAATATGCTCTTTGGTAACTAAACCATCATCTTGTACTAGTGGATGTGAAAATATAACATTACATGTGTTCTTTTCCACTACTTTCATGTCTGTCATTCCTAGTCCTTTTCAGCTTGTAGTAAGTTTAGAATATTTTTTCCCTGAAAAGAAACATAAGTTCAGAATGTTTTACTACTTCCCTTTTTTGTGAGCCAATGCCTAACACAAGCTTTTCTCAGCAAGTGCATTGCTGGTAACCAACATAAGGGTGGCCAGGTTTTGGCTGAGAAGTCTACTGGTTCTGTTGAGAGACTAGTTTCTTCGGATGGTTTAGGAAATGAACAAAATGATGGGCAGAACAGCAACAGTGAAAATCAATGTCAGGAAGGTTGCAAAAACATGGTAAAATTATGTACCCAGAATCAGGAATATTCTGAGCCATCGAGTTTCGTGAGGTATGACGAGCATAGTACCGTTGATGATGTCTCGCCAAGTACCATAAGCACATTGCATGAACTTTGCACTCCATCCTCAAGGGGTGATAATCTAAGAGAAGAAGACAACCAAAGCCTGAATGGTTCATGGGAAGAGAGGGCACTATGGATAAGTAGTCTTGGTTGGCCTGCACCAGTGGAAGCCATGAGTCCAGACAGCTGGAATCAGGATGAAATTGGGGATATTGAGAATCACACTCAGAATGAATTTAATGATCGCCCCTGGATAGATTCCCCTAACTCATGGAGATCATTGTGTGTTGCCACACAAGCAGACAGCGGTGCTTTGTCTGGCAATGCTGACATCTGCAATCTTCTTGAGAGGTAAATAAACCTTTTTACATATGTGCTCCAGTAATTATATGCAAATCACTTCCAAAGAACTGAGAATACTAATTAAGATGCACGTTTTCCATAAAGGTCCACTTCCTTTTTGTTTTATATTTGGTTCTAAACCTTTACTTTGCATGTGCCAATTATATTCCATAATCTTATTTGTACATACTAAACCATATTAAGCCATGATATTTCCCCTTCCCTTGCAGCAAAAATGTCTCAAAGTCTCTTGAGAGTGATTTTAGCAATAAAATGAACAACATGTTGCTAACAATCTTGCGCAAACAAAGGCAACAACACATGATTGATGATTTTGAAGGATATTATGATGAGCGCTTATACTGGAGACAGAATGATGAACAACAGAATGCTGATCAGAGGGTATCTGCACAGTGTTCATTAGCACCTGTCTCCCATCTCCACCAACAAGAAGGCTGGCAGCATTCTTCGTTTGAACATCAACATCATGAAAACCAAAACTTCCTTGTAAGTCTTGTGCTCTTCAAGTCAGTTCGTGTGCAAGTCATATTCTCACTATATTTCTGTGTTACAGGAAATGGAGGTCAGGGTTAGAAGTGAAATGGCACAGGTCCATCATGAAATATATGAACTACGGAAGTTGGTGGAAAGTTGTATTGCATCCCAAGTAAAGATCCAGCACTCCATTAAAGAGGAGATGTGCAGTGCACTTCGCGAAGCAGGTGAGTTGTGATGGAAGTTTTATAAATTTGTCATTCCTATCTACAAACCGCAACAACCAAAATGTTGTCCAGACTCCAGAATATGCATGAAACGGAAGAGCCTCATTTTCATATTCTAATATGGAATCTACGACCCTATAACGCAATCCCTAGCCTTTTCAGAACTGAGGCTTCCTATAGAAGATTGCACTGAAGACAAAATGAACTGTGAGGGCAAGTGAGCTAGTAGGTTGCCTTTAATGGACAGTCAAATGAGATCTGGAGAAAAAGAACACAGTTGGTTATGGAGTGACTATTGGAAATAGTTACTCTAGTCTTGGAACTTGAAAGCAAAACTATGCGCCATCTTTTTGCTCAAATCTGGGCCTGGACCAACTCTCTAAACTAATACTATATAATTGTTAGTTTGTTAGGCTTTCTGTGGCACCTTTAGGCTGCTTTATGGAATTGACAGATTTTTGTGGTGTGCCATGCTGTTGTTTTTTTTAAAAAAGATTAAAATACCATGTGAACTTTGGTGTGTTCTTTTTCACTACTGCCACTTTGCACCTTATTGAGTGCTTAATTTTACCTCATCTGTAATCATTGATGCACACTTTTTACACTTCAACATCCATTTTTTTTCTGATGCCATTATTTTCAACAGGGTTGATGCCAAGCCAACCCGACACACCAGCAAAAAGGGGAAGCTGCTGCATCTGCCATCAGACGCAAGTTGACTCTCTACTTTACAGGTAATGATTTGCATGGCTAGATTATGTTCTTTGACTCACTTCACATCTTATGTCTCACAATTTAACAAGAAACGATGATACGGCTCGCAATCTTGCTAAGTGTGTTATCATCTTTCATTCAGGTGTGGACATATGTGCACCTGTTTCAATTGCGCCGATCAGCTGAAATCGAGCAACAGGAGTTGCCCAATCTGCCAATCTCCTATTGAGGATGTTGTTCGAGCGCATATGAATTTTTGAGGTTTAGGTCTTAGGAGGAAGAAGAGCTGCCACTCTATAGCTTTAGATGTGGAGTTTGTGAAGCCCTGGTTTTGAGGAGGCTTCTTGAATCACCTTCATTAACAACCAAAAGTATACGAGCTAGCGTTTCTTGAGAAATGTAAATATGTTTTGTGCAAGCGCAATGTGTACTAAGTACTGACAGAAAGGAACAAACGAAATATCTAATCCAAATGCTGATCTTGTTTCTGATCATTTTTCTTGCTTTCCTTTGTTTCTTTTAAGTTCTGTATTGAACATGTTTGTAGCCTTCAGTTCTGATAATGGGCTTGTCTTGTTTTCTGTTGATAACTGGTGAAAGCAAAGTTGCTACATTTGGAGAGTGGCACGAGGAAAACAAAGTAATATTTAATATTCAAAATGGAGAACAAATCAAAAACATTCCAGGTTTAGACTACCAAACTAGTATGTATGAGCGTGCAATTTGCTGGCCAATTTGTTAAACAAATCAATCACACTAGTTAAATGTTAGCACGTAGACTGCTTTGCAGCTCACGCTCACGGGAATAATTTGTTTATGATTAAATAAATCAAAATGAAAGCTACCTCTCTCAGAACGGAAGTTCTTCTGTGAAACTAATAAACATGCAAATCTGAGAACAAATTACAGTAAATTATCTATAAATTCAACATAATTAATCTTGGTAAACCGATTACTAACTGCAGAATATATATATTTTCTGAGGTAACAGCACGCTCCTGTGACGTGCTCTGAGATTAACTTCAAGTATGCGGTGAAGTCCTCCTAACGCTCGCCGGCGAGGACGCTTACGACGGCCGGCGTCGATGTCGGCGATGACCCTGACGTCACATAGAATCTCACATGGCGCCCCGAGATGCGGTCTGGCCCGTCCGTCGACATCTTCCCCACCGACGGCCGCGCCGCCGCCGCCGCCGCGCGGCGCACGCCCTTCTTGAGCACGCTCTTTCTTATGCCGTCGCTGTCGAACATGAACGCGGCGTGCACCGGCAGGTCTGCCTCGTCGTCGCCGTCGCATCCCAGGATGAGCTCCAGCGGCAGGTCGAAGTACGACGAGCCGGCCTCGCCGTCGAGGGCGAGGCCGGAGCGGGACGACGTTGAGCACGAGCCGCAGTCGAACCGCTCGAGCGACATGGCCAGCGACATGGTGCTCGCCCGCGCCGTGCCTGGGTCGGACTCCACGCCGCCGCCGCCGCCGCCGCCACGGAACGTTGCCGGTGACGACGGCAACGACGATGCGCGCGCCGCGGCGGTGGGTGGTGAAGGCTTGGCCGTCCTCCTGGTGCCGAGCCCTGGGAGGTAGAGGCAGCACGTGAACGGCGCCGCCCCGCCGCCGCGTTTCCACTTGCGGCGGCCGCTCTTGCCGCGCGCGTCCGCGGCGGCGTAGCCCGTCGAGTCCTCGGCGCCGTCGCCCGCACCGATGAGAGGCACGTCGCTGCCCCACCGCTGCGGCGCGCTCGCCTTCCGCTCCGAGGACGACAGGATCACATCGAACTCGTCGTCGTCCAGCTCCGCCTCCGCGGCGCCGGCGCAGGACCTGCTCCTCGAGATCGCCGTCCTGGGCGGCGCCATCACGTCCGACGACGCGACGCGCGCAGCAGGCGCGGCCGCCACGACCGCCAGGTGCGCGTCCCACCTGGTGGGAGGCGCGTCCCAGGCAGACACCCGCCGCGGCGACGTCGGCACGCTGGCGCTGGCGCCGGCGAGTACCAGAGCCGGGCCCGGGCGCGCGTGCGGCGCGTGGTGGTGGTGGTGGTCGACGGAGACGGAAGGGATGGGCAGTGGCCCGTCGATGTCGAGGCGGGAGAACTGCCGGAGCGAGAAAGGGTCGACGGCGATCTGCCTCTCCTCGGGCTCCTCCTCCTCGCCGGCGTTGGTCACTTGGAATCGGAACACGGTGTTTCGCGCCATGGTCGCGAGTTGAACTGGCCAAGAGCCTAAGTAAGACTCAAGGAAGGAGAAGAGGCTATTAGGATTTGGAGCGAAACTAATCAACTGAGGGCGATTCGATTAGTTTGATGACAACAAGGAACTAGCTTGAGACGCTAGCCAGCAGCTGTCAGTATCAAGATCAAGAGTGGCGACATGAACGCACGTATAGAGATGTGTGGTTGCGTTCGTGCTCTCCATCACTGGACAGTTTCTAACAAGTAACAGGTCTACGTGGGTCTGCCTATATGAAATTCGATAGAAAAACACCTTGTAAATCTTACAAATTCTAAACTATGAGATTGTTTTAAGATTTGTGCACGATACCTCTAACCCTAATCCCTCCTCCCTCTCTCCATTCCACCGTCGGCGCTGCCACTCGCGAGTCACGAGCTCGCGCGCGCACAATGTTCCCTCGCCAGGCCGATCGGAAGGAGTCAATGGTTCCGGCTATAGCTAGCCATAAGACTTGAGGCCTGACGACCCGGCCCACGGTACAACATTTTGGCCCGCCCCAAGCACGGCCCGGTCCGCCGGGAGTTAGGCCCGTGCCGGCCTGGCCCGGCCGCCGGGCCGTGCCTGGGCCCCTCCACCGGCACGTTGGGCCAGCCCGGCACGACCGGGCCGGCACGGCACGATGGGCCGGTAGGCCAGGCCCGACAAAAAAAGAACAGGGAGCAAAAATAGACATATTATATGCCACGGTCCAAATAATAGGGATGTAAAATAGACTTATTGTAGCTACATATGTGCCACAGCCCAATGAGGAGGGAGGAAAAATAGACTTATTTTTCAAAAGGCATGATGGGCCACTCGTGCCTTCGAGCCAGCCCAGCACGGCCCGACTGCTGGTGGGCCGTGCCTGGGCCAGCACGGCATGGCCTAGTGTGTTGGTCGGGCCGTGCTGACCCGACAGATTTTGGTCCGAGCACGGCCGTGCCGGGCCAGGGCGGGCCGTACAAATGGCCAACTATAGTTCTGGCTAGGCCCCTTGGCCAGCCTCCTCTCCCTTTCTCCTTTCTCTTTCCTGAACCAGCGATAGTGAGTGTTCCCGCATTAATTACCGTCTTCCTCATCTTTGATGGCTCCTCGCCACCGGATTTGCCATCACCAGCTGCTGTCTCCTAACCACAAGCTCTAATCTTTCACCACCACCAACGCCGATCAACCGCTCTCCTCTATCCTCGTGACTCCAGCGTTGTTGCTGGCACCTTGCTGCCCGCCCATGTTCACCGTGCAGCGCCGAACTTCCACCTTCCACGGTCATCCTTCTAAGCCTCGTGATCTCCCCTCTGCCCCCTACCCCCATCCTATATCCACTCCGAACATAAGACTCTAAACCCTAACTTGTCAGGCCGTCGCAGGTTGCCGGAGGAGAACGGGTGTCCGGAGCACGATTCACGACACGAATTTGCATGATTTTGGCACTAATTTTCTACCAATATGTAGCCATTTAGTAGCAATTTCGATTTTTAAGTGATTTTTTTAACCATCTCCGGGCTGTTGCATTTTATCCAGTGACGACGACTCGACAGGCTAATTTCGATGTTGTCAGTGTCTCCACCAAGTCCTTAGGGCTTAGGTGTTTATTTCATAAGTAACAATACTAACATAATTGATTGTAGGGTAAGTATATATATACCACCAGACAAAGGAGATAATTAAGGAACTGACACAGTAAGGTAGTTTACTTGGACTCATAAACAACACTAACAGTAGACAACGCTGGCAGGAGTTTTCGTAACATCCCAGAACAATGCATAAATCAGGTGAACACAAAATATGCACACATTCATAGAGCATACATTAGAGGAATTAATTACTCCGGATCAGTAGCTGATCAAGCAAGCTCATCCAAATAAATCAAGCCAAGTAAGTTTGTCTATTTTTACCTCAGGATCAGCCAAGATAAACCAAGCCAAACAAATCGGCAAAGTAACGCACATACTCTGAATCTGAATCAAACAACTAATAGCAAGTACAATTTACATGAAACTGAATAGCGTCGTGCCAAAATCAGCCTATGTAGGATATGCTTCATTTCACGCATTCAGTTAGATACTGACAAAGTGAGATAATTATTGAACTCTAGAGTCAAGTCCACTAGTCTTTCCAATTAAGCTGCAACGGCCTGATTCTCTATCATATTAGAGAGAATTCCATATAAGCTACAGAGAATAACATGGCTATATGTCATTGGTTTAAATTTGCACACTCATGCCACTACTGTGTTGACTGTGTATTGACTGTTAATTCTAAGTACACAGGTATATTTACCCCTTTGAGTTGCACATGCAGATGTACCAATTGGTTAATATGGCAACTATTTGAAGGTGATTGACATATACATGCATATTTGTAGCATTTTAGTATTCATCTAGCTATTGAATGCAGCATATTATTTTTGCAGTCACATGTTTTTTAGCCACTACCATCACACATTTTTAAGTCAAACTCATGAAACATGCAGTTCAACAATGAAAGCCTAAACATGTAGTAAAACATTGAGGTCTCCAAAAAACTACATGGTCTTTTCATAAAAAGGTTAAAATGACATCACATAGTTCATCAGCACTATCACAGGGCAAAATTTCCATAGTAGGACCACACATGGTGCATCAGCACTCAGTATACCACAACTCATCAAAGTGCATACTGACCATATTACCAAAATGCAAATGCAAAATTACTGCTATCAGTGCATACTAACCATAGTACCAAGGTGCAAATGAACTGAGCAGTGTAAAACCAGTGTGTACCTAGAGATCACAGCACCAAAATATCTGAGCACATTATAATTCTCAACTAATCTACTCAGAATCACAGTAGAGTCAACGAATCGAACCAACTACTCAGAATCGCAGTTCGAATCGAACCAACTACTCGCAGAATCACTCGCAGGAATCATATAGTCAACGAATCACTCGCAGGAGAGTCGCAAGGACAGATTGAGGTTCATTGTGTCGTCAAATATGGATACATGGATACATGGGTCACACCTCCAGGTGTCGGCCGGATCTGGGCGATGCTTGTGCGATCAACGACCGCGGAGATCACGGTCCCTCTTTGCCCATCCCTTCTTACCCTTGTGCCTCTTGTCCTCGGCCTCCTTCTGAGCTTTGGCCCTCTCATCCCGGATTTTCTTCTCGGCCGCTGCCTGAGCCTTGGCGCACAACCTGGTATGCACCTTTATGAAGCGCACCCGTATTCGCCGGCCTTGAGCATCCCGCACGGACAGGTCCAGAAGAGCATCGTGTGATCTTCCAAGGCCATCCCGCCTCCGCCGCCGCCTTACTCCCGCTCGCTCGCTCGCCCCCCGCCGCCGCCGCCGCCGCCGCCTTACGCCCGCTCGCTCACCGCCGCCGCTCTCGGGGATTTCTGATTTCGCTAGGGCGATCCGATCTGATCGGACGCGTGGAGCAGACGGATGGGTGCCGGCGTACGTGGGCTTCCTGGGCTTCCTGATAGTGGCCTAGTGGGAGTGCGAATGCATCTGCTCCATGGGCCAGAATATGTGGGCTTACTGGGCCGCCTGACTGTGGCTTAGTGGGAGTGCTAGTTGGCCAGCGTATGTGGGCTACTGCTGTTTAGGCCTAAGTACGTGGGTTTCCTGGACGAATAAGTTTATTCTATGTCCCTTTACTTGACAGCGAGTTGGGTTTTCGCCCTCGAACCAAAATACCAGATACAAATGTCCTTTAATTGTCAAAACTGGTACATATGAGGTTCCTCGGCGTGGCATTGGAAGCCAAATATGAAAATTAATTTTTTTGAAAAAAATGTGGGACCCATATGTCAGTAAGGCAAAAGAAAAAAGTAGTGGGACCCACATGTAGGTGGGTCTCACCTTCCCTCTATCTCCACGACGAGCGCACGCGTAGAACCGGAGAAGGAGAAGGGCGACGGCTAGCGGCTGGCGGCCATCGGGCAGTAGAGCAAGAGAAGTAGATACATCAGTTTGGAAATTATGGCTTGAAAACCTTTCGTAGCAGTTTTTTTTTTCTGATTCCTTCCTTATGTAAATAGAACTTGCATATATTGACCTAAGTAGCCCAATGTGCAACTTAGGTTATATATGTGGCCTAAAGTGAAATTTACTCTCTTTTTATTTGCATGCGAAAGGGTGTGCGCAACCCTGGCACGTGTGTGCGTCGATCTAGGTTGAAGACGACAGCCTTGGATATGATGGAGAGTATCAGCTCCATTATCGTACATGCACGAGACTGTTTCCAGGAGGTTGAAGACGGCAATCTATACGAGTTGAGCCTGCAGTTCCTGTGGACTGGATCGAACAAAGGCAGGCTGAGCGGAGGAAGGTAGCGGACTAGGCAGGGCTGAAAAAAAAATGATGTAATGGGCTTTTGGATCAAAACTAAGGAAGGAGTAAAATTTATCGTGCGATCAATTTTACCCGGTGCAACGCACGGGCATTTTACTAGGAATACTAATAATAATAATCTAATTGTCCCCTTTTTCATCACAAATCGCATATGCATATGCATGTATTAAATTTCTTTTCGTTGTTCCACATTCATTAAACAATCAACTCTGGAGGAAAAACCCACGTTCTGTCCAAATCAAAGAACCCGATGCTTCGTGTAAACGGCCTCCTAGTACCGGATTTCAAGTCCCACACGTCCGGTGTGTCGACGAAATACATCGTGTCCTCTAAAACCTCGCCGTGTGCGGGAGCAGGCATGGACTTGTTGAAGAGTTCACTGAGGAAGATTGCTTGGCCACCTAGACCGCCGCCGGTGACCGGAACCCATGTGCCGGCGTCCATGTCGGCCTTAGAGACATCCACGCTGCGGGTGTGGTCGGCGTCCTTGACGAAGGCCGCGATTAAACACTCCCGTCTCACCATGAGCAACCGGCCAGACGACTCCAGGAGGTGCCAGCTACCGTTAACTGCGTAGTCGTCCCCCTCTAACTCGTACTTTGTAGTCTTCCAAATGAGATCCTCACCGGTGAGGTACTGCCACTGATGGCCGACGTCGTCGATGCCATCATCACCGACGGGCTCAATTTCGCTATCGTTCTCGCTGTCTCCCTCTTGGTTTAATGACTCATCATGGTCGTTGGTCGATGCGTCACCGTCATTGTCTTGTGCGTCGCCGTCGTCGTCGTCTTCATCGTCGCTCCACCTAAACGCGTCGATTACGCCATCAGGGCTTCTCGGTTGTCTGATGATGCGCTCGACGCTGGTGACGGTGGGCTTGCCGTCTTTGTCGTCGGCGAGGTCGACGGCGAAGAGGTCCTCGGCTTTTGTAATTAGATAAAGCTTGTCCGCGAAGAAGGCAATGTCGACGACACGGACGAATGGCATCGTGCAAGAATCAGGCGTCCAGATGCCCTTCCCTGGCTGGCACAGGATCAAAGGGCAGTCCCAGTGGTTGGTCATGACGGCGACGAGGTGACCGCCGCCATTGGGGTGGGACCGGATGATCACCTTGCAGACTCTGAACTCCTCAAAGAAGTCGTCGTCGAGGATGTCGCCCAGCTCGGCGAGCGGCACGGTGGCGCCGGTGAAAGGGTTGTGCAGGAGGAACGTGTGCCTCGTCTTCGTCGTCCTGGCGCCATCGACGCTGTCATCGTCATCGTTGTCGGTGCGGTGGAGGGCGAGCCAGCCGTCGGTGGAGCCAATGCAGACGGTGTTGCTCTCGGGGAAAGCCATGCGGTGGACGCCGCCGTCGGAGACCGTGACGAAGGTGCCTTCCGGGAGCACGATCCACGGGAGCTGCGGCGGGGCGGCGACGTGGCGGCGCAGGGCGGAGTGCCAGGCGCGGCACACAGCGCGGAAGCGCGCGCGGTCGGCGGGGAAGGGCAGGCGGGCGATGACGAGGCCCAGCAGATCAGACGGGAGGTCGGACCACGGCGCCATCGTCGACGTTCCCGCCATAGCCAAATTAGACTATGAAATCAAGCGATCTGATCGTAGTGCACCAGAGCCTGGAAACCTCGTGAAAACTGAAATATATATTTAGTAATAGTACTGGTGGTATTGGCAAAGCGGCCGGCACAGAAGAGGTCTTCGTATTTCGATTCGTTTTTATCGTCCGGTTCCGAGTCGATCAACGATATGACCACACTGTTGTCGCTGCGCGCGCCGTACGTGTGCGTCCGCGACCGCGATGGTGTACCATGTAGTTGTTAAATATATAAACATGCTTTTGTATCCCGAGATGTATTGTGGCCCAACTTGGCCCATGTCCAGTCTATTGACTGTTGTATATACTTCTTCCAGTAATACTAGAATGTGTGTGGTTTGCATTTTATTCACATGGTATCAGAGCATGGTCTGAACCCTAGCCGCCGATTCTTGGTAGTCCACAGGTCGGCGCGCCGGCTTGCCGCCGGCGACGCGCCGCCGAGCAACCTCCACTCTGTCTTCTCTCTCAGATCCATCGTGTGATTCGGTGTTAGTTGCTGCGAGCCTACGATTCAGCCGCCGCCGTTGCGTGGCGCCGCTGCCGCCGCCGCCGCCGCCGCGCGGCGTTGTTGCCCTTCGCTGCGGGCGCGCATGCGCTGGGATTGTCTTCACTTGTTGCTGCAGGAAACAAGGCCTTTTATCATCAAGCCGTGCTTCCTCATCCTCATACTGCTGCCGTTGCTGTACTCTGCTGCAATCAGAAATCAAATCAGTAAGCCTATTGCTGCTGCTCTCTTCTACCAGAAATTGAATCAGTGAACCTATTGCTGCTGCTCTCTGCTATCAGAAATTGAACCAGTACATGCACTTGTTTGGATTTTGGATTATGCACAATCAGTATGCCTGCACTTGTTTGGACTCTTCACTCTGATTTGCTGAGTTACTAGGTCTCTGATTTATTTAGTTGGGTTGGTCTATCATGGTGTCAGATGGAATTCTTGGTCCTTACCCATCTGCTGCTATTGCCTCATATTCATCTATATCAAGTGCTCTACCAGTTGCCTCCTATCCATGGATTTTGGATTCAGGAGCCTCCTTTCATATGGCGTGTGATGATTCATGGCTCACTTCATGCCGACCTATTGCAAATGGTGCTACAATTCATACAGCTGATGGAACTTTGTGTAAGGTAACTCATCAGGGGGCTATCTCTGCTCCTCGGTTTGCAGTGCCAGATGTGTCACTTGTCCCTAAACTATCTATGAACCTTATATCTGTTGGACAAATCACTGATAAGAATTGCTTTGTTGGATTTGATGATACCTCATGTTTTGTGCAAGACCGCCACTCAGGAGCGGTTGTTGGTACTGGACATTGTCAAAAGGGATCCTCAGGGCTCTATATTCTTGATAACTTGAATATGCCATCATCCTCAACTGGCACACCTATTGTTACTTCTCCTGTGTGTTCTTCAGCTTGCAAGTCTTTTCCACAGTGGCACCACCGTCTGGGTCACTTGCGTGGTTCTCGTCTAGCCACACTTGTCAACCAAGGTGTTCTTGGTCCAGTTTCTATTGACACCAACTTTATTTGCAAAGGTTGTAAACTTGGCAAACAAGTACAACTTCCATATCCTTCTAGTACCTCTAGGTCAAGTCGACCTTTTGATTTGGTTCACTCTGATGTTTGGGGGAAGGCCCCCTTTCCTTCCAAAGGAGGGCACAACTACTATGTCATTTTCGTTGATGATTATTCTAGATATACATGGATCTATTTCATGAAGCACCGTTCTCAGTTGTTCTCCATATACCAGTCTTTTGCTCAGATGGTTCGTACCCAGTTTTCTAGTGCAATTCGAATCTTTCGCTCGGACTCAGGTGGGGAGTATATGTCCAATGCTTTTCGTGAACTTCTGGCAGCTCAAGGCACTCTTCCTTAGCTTTCTTGTCCTGGTGCTTATGCTCAAAATGGTGTCGCCGAGCGTAAACATCGTCATATCATTGAGACTGCCAGAACATTGCTTATTGCATCTTTTGTTCCAGCTCACTTCTGGGCAGAGGCTATTTCAACAGCTGTGTACCTTATTAACATGCAACCATCTTCTTCTCTTCATGGCAAGTCACCTGGAGAGATGTTGTTCGGATCTCCTCCTCGTTATGACCACCTTCGAGTTTTTGGTTGTACCTGCTATGTATTGCTTGCACCTCGTGAGCGCACCAAGTTGACAGCCCAATCAGTCGAGTGTGTTTTTCTTGGATATAGTCTTGAGCATAAAGGCTATCGTTGCTATGATCCATCTGCACGTCGTATTCGTATATCTCGAGATGTTACTTTTGATGAAAATAAACCTTTCTTTTATTCTTCTACTAGTCAGTCTTCTTCTCCCACAAATTCCATTTCTTTTCTATATCTTCCGCCCATTCCTTCATCAGATTCTTTTCCTTCATCCATGTCACCTTCTCTACCTCCTTCTGTACCATCTCCAACATCACTCACACCACCCTCTCCACCTTCACCATCTTTTGGACCACTTCCACCATCACTCAATCCAACTTCACCAACACCAACAGTAATTCCTTCTACAACAACATTGCACACCTTTCCTTTTCACTATAGCCGGAGATCCAAAGTTCATGTTGAACCACAACCCTCTTCACCCATTCATGATGAACCAACAGATGTTATAGATGTTGTGCCTGATTGCTCCACACCTCCTGTAAGATATAACTTGCGCAATCGTGATGCTCTTCGTGCACCTAACAGAGATGATTTTGTTGTTGGAGCTGTACTTGAGCCATCTACTTATCAGGAGGCAGTTGTTTTACCGCAATGGCAATTGGTGATGTCAGAGGAGCTTGCTGCACTGGAGCGAACCAACACATGGGATCTTGTCCCATTGCCATCTCATGCTGTTCCTATCACTTGCAAGTGGGTGTACAAAGTTAAGACCAAGTCAGATGGTTCAGTGGAGAGATACAAGGCCCGCCTTGTTGCTAGAGGTTTTCAGCAAGCTCATGGCCGAGACTATGATGAGACCTTTGCTCCTGTTTCTCATATGACCACAGTGCGTACTTTAGTTGCTGTGGCAGCATCTCGCTCTTGGACTATTTCACAAATGGATGTAAAGAATGCTTTCCTTCATGGTGATCTTCATGAGGAGGTATACATGGAACCACCTCCAGGTGTGGAAGTTCCATCAGGGTATATATGGCGCCTTCGCCGTGCTCTTTACGGTCTCAAGCAAGCTCCTCGTGCTTGGTTTGCTAGATTCAGTTCTGTGATATGTGCTGCTGGTTTCTGTCCTAGTGACCATGACCCTGCTTTATTCGTTCATACATCTGAACATGGACGCACTCTTCTCTTACTCTATGTGGATGACATGTTGATTACTGGAGATGATTTGGAGTACATTGCTTTCGTGAAAAAGAAACTCAGTGAGCAGTTCATGATGTCTGATTTGGGGCCACTCAGTTACTTTCTAGGGATTGAATTCACATCTACAGTTGATGGTTACTATCTTTCTCAACACCGTTATATTGAGGATCTTCTTGCCCAGTCGGGTCTCACTGATACTAAAACAGTTACTACACCCATGGAGTTACATGTCCGACTTCGTCCTACAGATGGTACTCTTCTTGATGACCCTTCTCGATACCGACACCTTGTGGGCAGCCTTGTCTACCTTACTGTCACTAGACCGGATATTGCTTATGCTGTTCACATCTTGAGTCAGTTTGTTAGTGCTCCCACTTCAGTTCACTATGGTCACTTACTTCGTATCTTACGTTACTTGAGGGGTACTGCCACCCTGTGCTTGTTCTATGCAGCCACTAGTCCACTTCAACTTCGTGCTTTCTCGGACTCAACATGGGCCAGTGATCCCGCTGATCGTCAATCTGTCACTGGTTATTGCATTTTTCTTGGTACTTCTCTCCTTACTTGGAAGTCCAAGAAACAGGTAGCTGTCTCTCGATCTAGCACCGAGGTAGAACTTCAAGCTCTTGCTACTACCACTTCAGAAATTGTGTGGCTGCATTGGCTACTAGCTGATTTTGGTGTTTCTTGTGATGTCTCCACACCTCTTCTATGTGACAACACTGGAGCAATTCAAATTGCTAATGATCCGGTGAAACATGAGTTGACGAAGCATATTGGTGTTGATGCCTCTTTCACACGTTCTCACTGTCAACAATCAACCATTGCTCTCCATTATGTACCTTCTGAGCTACAAGTTGCTGACTTTTTCACTAAGGCCCAAACTCGAGAGCATCATCGGCTGCACCTTCTCAAACTCAATGTGATAGATCCACCTTGAGTTTGAAGGGGGGTGTTAAATATATAAACATGCTTTTGTATCCCGAGATGTATTGTGGCCCAACTTGGCCCATGTCCAGTCTATTGACTGTTGTATATACTTCTTCCAGTAATACTAGAATGTGTGTGGTTTGCATTTTATTCACAGTAGTGTCATCGGCGACGCTGTGGCCGCCTCGCCGGGCTATTTCCTATATGATTTCGCCGTTTTTAGTCCCACGCGCCGGCGATGGCGTAGCCCGTGGAGTCCTCGTCGTCGGCGACGGTGCGAGCCAGCCACGCGTGGAGCGGGAGCGCGGCGGATGCGAATCGGAGACGAAGCGAGGACGTGTGGTAGTGAAGCAAAGTGTAACACGGGCCGCGTGTTTCCATGGCGGCGCGCTGGCCTTTCTCCTCGACGCTGCCGATCGAGGTTGTGACTCACCGGCTGCTCGTTACAACGACGGCGCCGCGCGTCCTCTCTCTCTCTCTCTCTGCCCTTAGCTAGGGACTTATTGCCATTTGTATATAACTCTATCAGATTTTGGTGCTATCTGTCAAAACAATTGGGAGTATTATCGAATTTTTGTAAGGTATGTCAATCAAACCAACTTTAAATACTCCTACTACCTTACAAAAATTTGGTAATTTTGAGTCCATACACTCCTAATTCCAAATATCAATTCAAAACTGGTAAGGTAAGTACAGTACTTCCTTCGTATTTTAACGTACGACGTCTTAAATTTTTTTACTAATACTAGAAAAAATGTCTGTGCGTTGCAACGGGTGAAGTCTATTTTAATCTTATTATTGCTATATAGTTTAGTTAAGATGAAATTCACTGTGGGAGTTCACTTGGAT